CAGTCGCGACCCTCCTGGCATGTGCTTTCTGTGCCCAGCAGGGCAAAGGGACCACCCGTTCGAAGATGTCAATGAGGATGCAAGCTGGTATTTGGCTGGCCCTTGTCCACCTCCCTGGTCGACACCGCCATCTTTTTTGAAGCTGCGCCATGTAGCAGAAGCGCCTGAACAATTTCTGAAGACCGACTTGTTTCACAATTTCCATGGAGGCTTGGGAAAGGACTTCATCGCCAGCTCTCTTGCAGAAGTTCTTGTTCTTCTGATGGGCCCAGGTTCGCTAGAACACAAATGTTCAGAGCTTGACGGTCTCCTTCGTGCATGGGCATCCAAGCCAGGAAGGAATTTGCCGCATTCCGGCGGCTTTTGCAAGGAGCGAATTTCCATGACTTCGTATCAAGTGTGTCCCGACGCAGCTTGGGGAAAGCATGCAGACACCACTGTGTACTGCAAGTTTTTGGAATTCTTGCTGCAGGAACGTGCAGAAGAAGTCGAGAGACATAGAACGTTGCAATTGATCTTTGATGCATGTCGAGCGATTAACGCTTGCATGTCTTTGCTTTACAGCAGTGGTCTCTGGCTGACGAAAGCAGAAGCAGCAGAAGCTGGCAAGAAGGGCCGGCTTTTTGTTTGCATGTACGCAACGCTTGCCTGGGAATGTTTTTCCCGGAGGTCACTTCGATTCCCGATGCACTCAAAGATCCACATGATAGATCACACCATGCGGTGGCTTTGCAAGAGATCAGCATCCCCAACGGCTGCATTTGTTCTCAACCCCATTTGCGAAAGCAATTCTCAGGATGAGGATGCTCGACCAGGTTTTTGTGAAACTTTTGTGGTTTTGTTTTGCTCTAGCCTGCTTTCTTCCGGAGATATCAAAACAATGGCCCTACCAAAATGCACTGCAGGATTTTATTGGACACATCGCCCGGATTACCCGGCGAAGCAGTCCTGTCACCAATGCCTTACGGGCATTGCAACGGTACCTCTGTAGGGTCCAGAAAGTTTGGACTGAAGGGTAGCTGAGGCCCCAAGCAGCACGGCCCAGCTCTAAAAGAACGGATGCCGGCGGCCGCTTGAGCAAATGAATGCGAGCCGGTTCATGTTAGTCATGCAACCATGGCAAACCAGGTCAAACTCGTATATGGCCGTATTTGATCATGTGACCAGCTTTGGCCGTATGTGTAAGAATAACAGGCCGTATGTATTTTAACTAAAAAAGGTATTCATTTGGCACTACAGGTATATATACAGTAATATCTTTGTTCCAGGAGTCGCATTTTGGGGTGGCCAACATAGATGTTTTTGGTCCCCTCCCGTGAGTGGATGAGGATCGTGAGGATGTGGCGCCACGCCGGCACCTTTCTCCGTTTGCCACTTAGCACCCCACTCAGCACGACTGGTTCGAAGGCATTGGTTTTTCGATGCGTGTCTGGGTCTGCATGGCGGATCAGGAAAGACTTGAGAGGCTTTTTTGTCCGCCTCCTGGCCGAATTGGCAGACAATCGAAACAAAGGACCCCTGAATTTCACTGGGGGTTTTGATGGGACAAGGACCACGCTTTTGGGGGCTCCCAAACAGGGAGGTCGTCAGGGTCGCTCAGGTCTTTTTTCAAGCCCCTTAGGGGAACCGTTTCACCAATCCAAGCATCGCCTCGGGCCGAACTCACCGATCTGGGGGAGCCCGAAAGGGGGGGGGGCTGCTTCTCCGCCGCGGGGTGGGATCGGGCCAAGCCACTCTGTGCTGACCCGGGAGGGACCTCACCATCACTTCAACATCTGCAACTGACGTCGGTCCGGACCACAATGTGGAGATGTGATATAGAAGTTCTACATCTGTGCTTGGGGCAGGATCCATCGGTGCTGGGGCGTTCGGGGAGGTAGAGGCATGCTCTGAAAAGACCTATGCTATAGTCACCAAAAGTCTCTTTGGGATTTGGGACCCCATCTTGTCCAACATCGTCTTTCGGCCAGGTTCAGCACGCACGACGAGGTAGCACTGCTTGAAGCACCTCGGGCATGAGCAGCTGGGTGGGGCTGTGGAGGAAGGCTTGCCATCATGCTAGATTTGCTAGGCTTTTGGTAGTTCTCACAGGGTGCGTTCAGGACAAGCTTCCATACCATGTGGCACACGAACACTTTCGAGAGCTCCCCATCAGGAACCGCGGACCCGCCAGCCTCTCCCCGCGTTCGTGGGACAGTGGCCCTTCAGTGGCCGTTCGGGCGACCAAAACGCATTTGGCAGACTTCTCCCAAACGGTGAGGGCAAATGAGAGCAAGAACGTGCTGATTTTGCGTTTCCGCTCGACAGTTGCTGGAGGACTCAAGACAGGTGGGCCGTTTTGGCAAGCAAGACCCAAGACACCTGTCCAAGACACGAGGCATGTTTGAAGGATGCTCCAACATGCTCTAAGCTCTTGGGTGCGAGGCACTTTCAATCCGGGAGGAGGAAAACATACCGCTTCAAGCCGGCCTCCACTTTCTCATAATCCACTTCTAAACCCTTCGAAGGAGGAGGAGGAGGGGTGGACTGGGTATAGGGCCGGTACCGCTCCGGTCCGGGTCCATCGAGCGGCAAAGGTCTTTGGCGCCCGCTGTGCGGATTTACCCACCCTCCTGGCCAGCGTGGGCTGGGCGGCGGTCTCTCGATGGCGGTCAGGGCGGGGGAGAAAAGAAGACTCAGGCAGGGCACCCGACCCTCCCTGCAGAGCACCCAGATGGAGTCCCATTTCAGAGCTTCACTCACCTGGTATTCGGAACATGATCGAACAAATGGCTCACCTGACACCTGGGCGGGATTCACCAGATCAGGTCCCACCCAGGTAGGTGTGGGAGGGACCCCAGACACCAGACACCCAGACACCAGACACCGGATGGTCCATGGATGTCCATGCAATCGCTTTGCCGGAGGTGGTGGGGCCAGAATCGGCGACCACCCCGATCGTCCGAGGCACCGATCGGTGGAGATCCGGTGGTTTGGGCGGTTTGAGCTGCTACTGGTAGGTGGTTCGTGGGGCCCAAGGGGTTGACTGGCGTCCAGTGGAAAACAGAGCAGGTTCAATGTGGAGATTCCATGCAGATGTGGATCATTTGCATTGGTATCCTACTTGTGGAGGTCCAAATCTGTTGAGCCCTCTTCTTCATGGGGCACAGGTCCATTCAGTGCGGTCCTAATCATTTCTTGAGTGTTTCTGAGGTGGCTGCTCGTGAATAAGGGCGGACTCTCAATAGAGCTAAGGCTCTGATGGCGATACTTCTGGCCGTCCTTTGCTTTTCGGAGTCCATCATTGCAGCAATGACCCTTGCCCGCACCACGGTTTCATCCGCGAAAAGCAGGCGACATGTTGAAGGGGTGGCTTTGATTTTCCATGGCGGGGCACATGGAGAGTTTGAGAGGCTAAGAAAGGCAGTCGACAAACAGCGGAACAGCGTCCAGGATGAACGAACTTGCTCATGTTTAATATGGACATGAACGATTTGTGTGCAAAATGGTTTATACATGAGCGGTGAGATCAATGAAGGGAACTAAACCAACCTTTGATTCTCCTCAGCTCCTTCGGTCTGAACAAACATGGCAGATGACCCTACATGGCAGATGAAAGTCATATTTGGCCAAATGTCCAGTCCAACCTGCCTGTAGGGCATCCACAACCTGGACTTGGTCACATGGGTCGTCCCACTCGAAGTCCCTCGAGGATTTGCTCCAGCCTCCTCGCAATGCTTGCCATGGTCTCTGTGGCGAGCCAAGTGGCTCGGCATGCGAGGTCTGTCTTGGCAAGGGCTGGGGGGTCTTCAGGTGTGCAAAAACCAGGAAGCTCGAATGCAGCGGGGACCGACCATGTAACCATGTATCCTTATCTTTCAGCCAGGCTCATCATGGGAAGGGAGCCTGTTTGGAGGGAGCCCCGGGAGCAGCTCACGAAGCGGGAAGCCGAACTGGGCAGTTGGGCGCCAAGCGAGCGGTTTTGGTACTCCAGACCAGCTCCTGTGCCCCGACACGGGTGGAAAGCTTGCGCTGAGGTGCTGTCCATTTCTTATGAAGGTGCTTGGGCAATTTGAAGAGCACCGGCGCTGAATTCGTTGCCAAGTCTGTAAGACATCCGCATTTTTCTGACCTCGCTGGAGGCACTACCTCCAGTCGAGAATTCGTTCCATTTGGATTTATCTCTTGGGGATGTCGAGGCCCCACCAACAGCCTGTTGAGATAAGTTGAGTCGTCATTTCAAGTCAGTAAGGATCCAATAAGGACTCTTCTCCCTGTCACTGGTGGGACGCCCAGGACCCCAAGAGAAGTCTGAATTCTTCCGGCAGCTGACATCAGCCATGGCAGCCATGGGACAAAGTGCCCAATGTTAAAAGCTTGGCAACAGCGACGCCAGGCAGCTTGTGTCCAATGGAATTTCTGGGTTCAACCACTTGGTGCTGGAGAGATATCATTGGCTTTGCCTGTTGAGGACAGAAAGGGTGTATCATCTAACCGAGTGAGAAGGACTGCAAAAGGGAGTGCTTCGTTTTGGAGTTTCTTGGGGTGTCCATGTCGCCACCAAATCAGTGTCCTTGGAAGGTCTCCGCAGGGGATTGCGAACGAAGAGCTGAACACCAGAGCTGTTCCAAAGACCTGTCGCCACCTGTCTATAGAAGTCTGGCTGAGCGCCCAACCGCCCAGAGAGCATCTTAAAAAAGAGAAGGCACCTGCTATTGGACCGTCCCCAGAGACCGACCGCTGTGGGACGAGCGCCCTCGGGCTCCGTGAACGAGTGAGAGTGGAGCTGAGGGGTCAATATGGAGGGCTGGGGCGTTTGCGGATGAAGGAGACTGTGAAATGATCGAGTTTCGGATTAGAAGCGACAGTACCCACTACTCATGAGGTTTCTGATTTCTGAGGCCACCTGAGTTTCTCTTTGCGGTAAGGGAGTTCGGTTCACATTTGTTCACAGCCAGCTGCTTGTTGCTGCTTGCCTTTGATATGCCGCGAAGACCCGTTTCGTCTGCGCTGCACAGCAGGTCACTGCGAGAGTCGATGGGTGCCGCTGATGGAGGCTGGCGCATTGGGTGTCCTTTGGGTCGTTTATGGTGTCATGCTGCTTTCCTTTCGCCGCATGGGAGGAAGACGAGCCAGACGAGCAAGACAAACAACCCCCTGTTGATCCGAACGCATTGAAGAAGGCAACACGGCTCCTGTGAGACGATGGTGTTCCTTCCAGACACCGCGGAACGTTCACGCGATGCAGCTGGGCGCAGATGCAATGGCGTAGGGCCACGTGTAAGGAGCGATTGTCGGATAGGAATAGTTTGCCAATTTGGAAGGAATCAACCGTACTATTATATTATAATATATTATATATATATGTGGATGTGGGATGATATGGGTCATTCAAACTGGGAGACCTTGGTTGACATGCGAAGGTCAAGCTACATGGGTGGCCACCTGGCATCTCGAGATCAGATCTATAATGACAAGATACTGAATGGTCCGGGGTCTGGGGAGGAGCTTCCTGCACCCATTTGACCCACCAACCCATCAACATCACGTGGGTGCCAAGAGTAGAAGTGGCCCTTTCATGCACATTCATACACTATGCTTGGTGCCTGTAACAATATATACCCTTCACAAAATGGTGGGAGACTGTCAGCTATTGGCTATTGGGGAGTTTCTTGAACATGGGCTTACGCCCGCAGTCATCCTTAAACCATTCGCGTTTAGCCTGGAGTCTTAAAACCCGTGGTTTGGAGTGCCACAATTTTTCGGAAGTATCCATTTCCAGTTGTTTTTCCACTACACTGGATTTTCCAAAAAGATCCGAGCTGCTAGGCCGGGTGAAGATCGTCAGGACAGGGAAGCTGTGGCTGCAAGACATAGGGTGTGAGTGTAAGTCTGAACATTTCTGAACACCTTGGATCTCTTGGATCAATTTCCATGCTTCCCCTGGAGAATGGCCATCAGGTGCTTCACTGCACATCAGATTGCCACTGTAGTTCCTTTCTGGATAAATTTTGTTTGATCAGGTTGCCAGCAAAGGTGTTGTCGTTCTCCGTCAGTTCTTCACTGCAGAGGATCCCCGTTTCAGCTGAACAAACACCGCACTGCGGGCCGCTGTGCCGGGCTGCGTTCCTCCGGCTGTGCCTTCGGCTGAAGTTTGGACCTTTTTGCCGGGTGGAGGAGAGGAACTTCGACCGAACGGGTATCGACATGCGGTTTAGATGTCCTACGACCCTTTGGTGATGTGAAACCATTCTTCAAGCTCAGGATCAAATATATAGGTCTGTAAGTCCGTCATGTGAAGAACCTTGTAGTCCGTCTGTGTAGGCCACCGCAGTTTGTTTGACTGGAGGGAACCCACTTCAGTGTCACACCTCTTCAATTAGCCAAGTTGACTTGGCCCGTGCGCCTTGAGGTCTGTCACCACTGGCAGAGCTCATTCCCAGGCATGACGTGCCCTGGCCATGAAGCTGACTCTCCAAGAGTCGTCAAGAGAGTAAGGGTCTACTGCGGGAGGATGGGAATCTGGCCAGTTTGGGGATGTTGGGTTGAACCATGTTGAACCCTATATCGCAACGAGAACTGTCGGGGGGGGGGTCTTCCTTTGGCACGATTTCCAGGGAGCATCTGTCAGGTGGCGAGCATGCAGTGTATGATGTACTTGGAATAGGGGCTTGTGGGAAGGCTTCTGTGTCTATTTATATAATTTCACCCAAACCTTTGTCAATTCCCTGATGGTCCGTCCACCTGAGACTGTGTTGCTTGCGGTCAAAGCAATTGATACCTTGCCATCCTCTACCTGTAGTTTGTGGATCAGGTGCCAAAACAATCTAAAACACCCAACGCTTCAGGTGCTTAATAATGGAGGGCCTTGGTGCTTCACTGAGCAGCTGCTTCCCGATGCTTGGCTTCAGTGGATGGAACCGACGATCAAGTGCCTTGGGACTGTTGAAACTGGTTGTCGGACAAGGCCTCACGGAGGCCTTCAACTTGTCCGCTGACTTTTGTTGTTTGCACTCTCCAATTGTGCAGCTTTTGGCACAAGCACTTGCTCACTGACAAAAGCAGAAGAGATTTGTCACATGCCAGAGCCAATTACGTTGGCAGCGGCTGCAGCGCTGGGGGCCGCAACCAATCACATTGTAGGGTGGTCGCGAGGCCATATGGGCAGTGAAAAGAATGCGGCCGAATTGGAGAAAGAGAGGATCAAGGCTTCTTCATATCTCCGCCAATATGGTTGGCATTGCACAACCGTCGCCTACGTCAGGTTCCTGCAAGTTGTGCCTCAAGTGGAAGAGAGCCTCATGGAGATTTTGAGAGACGAGCGACTCGCTCAAAACGTGGATGGAACAACAGCTGAGGCAGGCTTTGAAGCTGGAAGTTGGAAATGAGGATCTCAAGAGCGAGACAGTTCACTCTGTTCTCTTAGAGGGCAAGTTTGCCACTATGATGGCAGGGATCTTTGTTCGTGCTTTGCCATCTCGAGAGAAACTTGCATCACCTCTTGCCAAGGAAACGTGCCTTGAGGTTTGGGAACGTGTGAAAGGTTTGGGGAGCAAATATGAAGCAGTTGCAGACCTGATGAAGGAGGATGGAATTGATGGTGACTACTTGGCACACCATGATATCTCCAGGGAACGCCTTGCCGAAGAGTTTGAAATCACCAGGAAGATCAAGCAAGATGTGCTGCTGCACCTGTTCGAGCGGTACAAACCCCGCATGATTCGAGATGTGGCCGTTGGATTGGTAGCTTGTTCTGCAGAATTTTGCCACAAAAGGGACTACGGCCATCTCTTCCACGGTCCCGATGCCAATGTCTTGGGTCACGAAGATCTCAAAGTCAGAGCTCAGAAGATGATGGCCTACCAAAGCCATAAGGCCTTCTTCCCCCCTTGCAGAATTAGGCCAAATCAGATCATAGCAGATCAGTCCTCCCAGGCACAGCTGGAGGCTGCAGGATGATCTGGCTTTGATTGACTGTGCGTGCACAAGTCATGCACAGGCTGAGGTATTTCGCCCGCGAGGTGGGTCATGATCATAATGTATACTGTGTTGTTGCTCTTGACACATTTTCTGTTGAAAGGGTTGTCCATTGGACTTGTGGAAGTAGCTCACCCTGGCGGTTGCATTTTTGGCTGCAGCTTCCACGTAGTGCTTCGCCTTGTATCTCCGTTCATGGCTTGGACCAGCAGGCTCAAGTTCGGAGATGCAGTGATCCACCTTGCAGCTGAAGTCTTGCCTGTCATAGCTTCCCGGTGTATGGCTTGAACACTCACACCATCTCACATTTGATCTGTGAAAAGGGCTGGTTTTTGGCGAGTCAGACCAGGCCCAAAAGGGCAAGAGGGTCATCTTTTTCACAGTGACTCATGCATGGACAATATTTGCTCCCCTCTGAGTGCCGAGGAAAACACCGATGCCTTCCTTTGAGAGTGTAGCCAGGCTCTCAGATCGTTCCTGTCATCACTGGAAGGCCAGGTTTGGTCTCGGCAAACAAGTGCATCTCTACATATATATATATATATTTGCATATTATACATACATACATACATACATACAT